TACTCCCTTTTTCTAGTAGTGTTCCATCCTTGCCTCATCCCCGTGATGAAAATCTCAAATGACCTCCATCCTACCCTATCCCCATCTCTGTGATAAACATCTCCATATAGATCAAATTAGTCAATACCATACCAATATATGTACTGATTTTGCTATTAGAACGGTACGTATCAGATACGAAAATTTTTCGCATATTGTTTTGGATTTAATCACTATAAATAAATATTTTTATAACTTAAATATCAAATTTTAAAATAATAATAAGAGAAACTAATGTTTAAAACCATTATATTCCTATAAATTAAAAACAAGTTTAAAATTGTCAACTTTATAAAACATCATAATTTTTTTTTTTTTAACATTAAGATAATATTAGGAAGTATAATAGTGTTATGGGTTTAATATTATACAAGTCACAATACAAAATACTTCCACAAGGAAATAAATCTGTCTTTTAAGTATAACAAGAATGCAAAAGATAAATTAAAACATTACTGAGAAGAGAGAGCAACAACTAATGAGCACTGAGAACTAGAAATTTGAATATGAAATTGTTAAAAGGGACTAAAAACACACATTTTTAGTTCCTCAACTTCTAATATATGCATATTTTTCGTCCCTCTACTTTAAGTTAAGGGACTAAGAATGTGTATATTTAGACATGCTTAACAGAGTACTTGATAAAAGGATTAAAAAAATGCATTTTCTATAGTTGATCGACTAAAAGAATATATAAAAAAATTAAAAGGTGAAAATTATGCAAAACGTTAAAATTGAGTATCAAAAATGGAATTTATCATTTTTAAATTTGAATTGATTTGTACCGACTAATTTTCAATGTACCGATGGCTACACAAAATAACAATCGATACACTAAAATTTGATCAAAATAGATGAAATTTGACCAAAACAGAATTAAACCTTATATTGTTTTGACTTAATAAAAAACCCGATATGTACCAACCACACCAGCTATTACGGAACAAAATCAACTACTTTGATATAGATCCATTCCATAAGGCTTGGGAAAATTGTTGGATATACTTAAGATATGATTATGGACACACATAAATTTATTAGATCTATATCAAACGATTTCCATCGCTATCCCATCCCCGTGATACAAATCCCCACGTAGATCCACCCCATGAGGTTTGGGAAAAGTTATGACCACACATAAATTTATTAAATCCATATAATTTTTTTCTTGAATAGCCTTAGAGTCATATAGTTCAATTGATATTTTATTAATTTATTATTTTTATTTTTAATAATTAATTATGATATTTAAAGATACTTATGTATAAATTAATTTTAATATAATAAATAATAAATATTTTTATTAATTATTAATTATTTTTAAAAATTATATTAAAATAAAAATTTTAATTAATTTATAAAACATTGACAAATTTACGCGTGGACGTGCAGGTGTGTGGCCATAAGTACAAACCTCTAGCGCTCATGGATGTGAACAGTTTTGGACTGGTATGAGACAAAACCGAAATAAACCCATGTGTGTGAAATGGAAATAAAGAGCTACAGCAAGTTGGCTACTGCCAAAATGTTGTCCCACCCTAATTATTTTGCCTCCATCGAATCTGACGAACCATTTATCCGTACCGAGGTGTATCTCGTTAGGTCCACAAACTTAGCATTCGGCGTCCCTCTTCAATTCTTTTTGAGCAAACAATTTCATGGCATTTTATTTTTTTAAGCTAACAATTTTACGGCATTTTATGCATCTCTACTATTTGGCTTTGAATTCATATGATTTGAGAATATATATATTATTTATTTAAAAATTTAAATTTAAAATTTTCAATTTGAAAAATCATATTCTTTTAAGTGAGAATATATGTTAATAAGTAACTTAAAGTCTATTAATTAAATTGCATTAGATCAACTTGTTAAGGATTAGAGGTTGAGGCCAACAACTTGAGGTTGTGGATTTAAATTCTCATGTATTTGAGTTTTTTTCCAAAATTTTTTTGATTTGAGTACTATGATTAAGTAAATTAAATCTATATTTTGCACACCATCTTGTACTCCAAAAAACTAAATTAAAAATTAATTAATTATTTTGAGCTAGTCAAATATTATTTTCTTCTCAAAATAATTGTTAGTTTTCAAAAAAATTTTGCACTTATTAAAAATTTAAGAACAATTTATTTGTTTTCTTATATTATCATTAAGAAATAAAGAAAATTTTGGTGATTGGTATATAACTTTCATTTTGCCACTTTTATTTTTTGGTTTAGTGGTTACATAGAGCGTGTTTAAATTAATTTATCTGCATTTCAAAATTAATTTTTTTTTGTCTAATAAAAAACAAAATATCTACATAGGAAATAAAGAATTTATGAAAAATTACTTTTTAATTAACTTTTTCAATGAATTAAAAATTTAAAACTTGATTAATAAAATATAAAATAAACCTCCTTATTAACTAATTCACAACTTCTTAATCACGACACTTTAACCACTACAAAATTGCATTGCCACCATCTATAGCAACCTATTTTTAAGTTATACTATCTCGTATTGATTTTATTCGATAAACTTTACTTGCTACAATTATAAATAAATAGATGTATATTAGAATTTATAAAAATATAATTATTATTCATTGAAATTTTATGTTTACCATTATTAATTTATGAATTTAAGGAATTATGATGTATTCCTTTTATAAATGAAGTTATTAATAGAAATAAATTTTTTTAAAAAAAACTTTAATGTTATGTTTACAAAAAGATTAATAAATAAACTAAATCACCTTCTTTTTAAAAAAATGACGAGTAAAATAGATACGTGATAGTACGTTGTTTTGCACTCAACCATAAGGTTTCACATATTCAATGGCCTCCCAACACAAAAAGCACAACAATTCGTTGCTTGTTTGTTTAACCCAGTCGACCAGCAGGTAATGTATTTTGATTGTTAAAAGTTATTTATATTATTTTATATGTTAATATTATACAAAAAATAAAAGTAATATTTTTAATATTTATTTTTCTTAACATAAATTTTAATCATAAAATTTTCTTTGTAGCTATTTAAAAAAATTTATAACTATTTTACATTGAATTACACAATAAATATTATTAAATAGAAAATATATCCCCTAATATAAAAAGTTATTTTTATTCAACTATTATTATTTTACAATTTAACATAATTTAAAATAGTAAACAAGTATCCATGTTATAATTAGCTAAATAAAGGAGACAAAACTAAATTTATGTGGCTTTAATAAACTTAGGTAAAATCATATATTAAGTTTTTAAATTTACTTTAAATTTTTCATTAAGTTTTTAAATTTTTATTGAAACAAAAAAATTTTTAAATTTAACAATTTAAGTAATTTAATTTTTTTATAATAAATTTAATGCATATTTGTATCTTATTTATAT